ATACTTTGACAGCAGAAGAGTTTCTTTAAATTCTAAATCATGATACTCTGAACCATTCTGAATATTAAACAAGAATTACTGACCATATTGTTAAACTTATTATAGTAATGGATTGCTACTGCTGCCAAGACATGAAATTATTCTACAAAAATATGAAAAATACAGTAAATGTAAACAAATTGGAAATAAAGTTTCAGAATTTGTATTTTTCTGAACGCCCTTCAGTTTTGTTCTTCAGTGGAATTAGTTTACTTGCACACAGGACTCACTACAGAAGAGGAGTGCAAGTGCTGGAGAGGAGGGAGTCGATTTCAGCATGAGCACTGCCAGTCTGATTTTGGGGGGGGGGGGGGAAGGGGGGGGGGGAGGGTTTTTGTTTTTTGGGTTTTTTTTAAAAAAAAAACACAAAACACTGTCTTTAGATCTTCCATGTTTCACCACAGTGGTTATAGAATTGTTGTGTTTCTTTTGCAGTGGAAACGAAGTACTAACACAGTACAGATGACAAATAAGGAAAGATAGGCAAAAGATGCTTTTCCTAAATCCTTTAATGAATTACCATCTTGACTGACACAGTCAGACCTGTGAAATGTGGAGGCTGGAATGCTGTGTCTCCATGTAAAGTGCCAAAAGAGCAAAAGTGGGAGTCACACAAAAATAAAACAGCTTTTAGTTTGGGGTTGGTTGGTTTGTTTGCTTTGCTGGTAAGTCTTTATGCACCACTTGCTACACACGGAAGAGTTTGCAGCTACATGAAATGAACTTAAATGCTCAATGAATATTTTATCAATCTTTCATTTATGCCAAGTTACATTTCATCAGTTTTCCTAGATATGTTATGAGACCTTGAAAGCCTGCTGAATGTCTGAGATAAAAGCAACCAAGTGGAGACAGTCCTTGAGTACATTAGATTTATAGAACAATAGATTTACAGCAAACTCTATAATGTTAGTGGCATTGAAGTACAAAACCAGCTGCTCTCTAGAGACAAAAAAGATGATATATATTGCCTGACTTTTACCATCTGTGGTGCGTGTCTAATAACATCTTCTGAAAGTTCTGAAATTTTGAATGCAGTTTTAAAAATAGCTTTCCTCTCCCTCCCTCCAATATCCACATTTTCTGTGTAGAAGTCAGACTAGTGTGAGCACCAGAAAACTGAGCCGGAACCTGGAAACTAAGGCACTGCAAGTAACATGGATAGCATAAAGGGCAGCATTAAGTAAGTCTCCCTATATTTCACTGGCTGTGCAGAGATGCTAACAGCAAAGTAAAATCAATGGCAATTGCTGCCTGTCCTGACAGACACCGGCTACCTCCCATCCACCCCTGCTGCTATGGTAACCGCAGCCAAACCCCTAATTTAAACAGCCTTGTAATGCCAACCTCAGCAAAACCGGAAGCCCATTAAGTTTATTTATCATTCATTTATTATAGATCTATATGATTATAGTTAAATAAATAAAAATACAGTATCACAGTGGTGTGGTGGACTGCTCCACAGCCACGGCTATCTTGTGAAAGGAGCTACAGATGCCAGAATGAGGTGATAACTGTTGTTTCCACAGGAGAGGAAAGGCAAGTTGTAATGGTCTCCTGAAAGGATGCTACTTCATCAGCTGTATTTCACAGCATAAACTAGAGTCACAATAAAAACTGGATGAAGTTTTGGGACAACCTTTACCCTGCTTCAAGGCTGCTACCAATTTCATGTAGAAGCTGCAAACGTATTTTCTCCTAGTGTTACTCTTAACTCCAGTCAACTTTAAAACAGTGGAAGGATTACAGAAACTGAAGTCACTTCACGAAAAAGCCTGCCCCTTAAGCTCATACACCTTCTGCCATAGAACCAAGACTTTTCTTTTGCCCCCTCTGGTGTACAGCAGCTTCATAGTGGTATTACTACACAGCCAATGCTAGAAAACTGTGTATGAATGATGCCACCAGTATTGACCATTGAGGGGGAAAAAAGATTATTCAAAGCTCTTTAAGAAGCTATCAATCAGGATCATGGTGGCATCAGCTGTTCTAGAAAACAACAGCTAATTGAAATTTTGGGACTGTATACACATGCATGTGCATGTGTGTCTGTGTGTATAATCCTCTGGTTAGCATGAAGGAAGAATGTTGACATGAAACTTGGTCTGTCTCTCCTTCCGACTCCTTCTAACCAACCAAATAAATACTACTACCACAGCGAACATTGAGCAGCTTAAAAACTGGACAGGACATCAGTTCATGTGCCAGTGTGCTAATGCTACACCACTGGGCAGCCTCCCTAGAAAAAAGGGATATGCTGGAGACTGAAGACGTATCAGGAGGGTAATGACAAGGCCTCTGAGCAGAACACCTTACTGACAGCCTGGAGGTTTTTAACATGTTTAGTTTAAAAGCAGCATTTGAAATAAGCTTTAGGTTGGAGATCAACATGTGCTTTGAACTTCATATCAAATCATATGACAATAAATATGTTGTACTGCTTAACTTAGCAGAGTGGCTGGAAAGCCTGCTCCCCAAGGTAAAGGTTATACATCACAGGCCCCAGATATAACCTACCAGCTTATGTTAAAATACTACCATGCAAAAATTACATGACTATTATACACTGCAAATCCCTTCTGAAAAACTCACATGCTGCATAAAGGAATGAACTTTAGAGGCCATCTGGTAAATTTTACACCTTTTCTTGGTTTGTCATCACACATATATGTGCATTATTTTAGCTTTTTGGAGGGTACTGGGGTTTTTCCGCACTTCCAGAGAGCAGCAGTAAGCATGATAATAACTGGAGGGTTTTTCTGCCAGTTCAGAGGCGTTTCCAGAATGCGACTAAATCCCATCCCTTGCATTTTTGTTATTGCCTTTGTCCTGGGTTCAGCTACAGCAGTCATTATTTCTCCATCTTAGTAGCTGGTGCAGTGCTGTGTTTTTGACTTTCAGTCTGGGAGCAACGCTGCTAACACCCATGTTTTTAGTTGTTGCTCAGTAATGTTTACTCTGACCAAGGACTTTCTCAGTCTCATGCTCTGCCAGGGAGGAGGGGAAGCCGGGAGGAAGCAGAGACAGGACACCTGACCCAAACTGGCCAAAGGGCTGTTCCATACCACAGCACGTCATGCCCAGTATAGAAACTGGGGGGAGTTACCCGGAAGGCCCAGATTGCTGCTGGGGTCGGGCTGGGTATTGGTCGGCCGGTGGTGAGCGGTTGTGTCCTCTCCCCTTGTTACTCCTCTTACCATTATTATTGGTAGCAGTAGTGGTTTGTATTATACCTTAGTTACTGGAGAGCTGTTATCTCAACCCGTGGGAGTTACATTCCTCCGATTCTCCTGCCCATCCCTCCGGGAGCGGGGGGAGGAAGGAAGAGGAAGGGGGGAATGAGCAAGCAGCTGCGTGGTTCCAAGTTGCTGGCTGGGCTTGAACCACGACAGTCTTATTTGAATTTTTATGTATGTGTACGAAGTCTTACACAGTCAGCATGACAGACAGTAACACACTCTTCTCACCTGATCAATTCATGTGATCTGGCAAAGGGGAGAAGACCTTGAACCTTTCCTAAAAACTCAGTTTGCAAACCTGCATATTGCAAAAGACAGGCTGAAAACAAAGTGCAAGATCATCCTCCCTCTAAAATGGATGGCCTTTTTAGAGAACTGGCTTCATTGCTTTTACAGGCAAATGTTTCAACAAAGAGGATGTTTAGAAGTTGAAATGTAGGTTCTCCTATATTTCCTAGAGTAATACACACAGTAATCATACATAGAGTAATCCTACTACTTTTACATCCAAACCATAGTGATCTCTTACTCTCCTGCCCCCCTGCCCACCCAGTTTCTCACTTTTTATGTGTTTGTTGTCCCTGTTACTTCTGAAGGGCTGAGCCTAAGCCTTATCAGTCCGTGTTTTGGGAACAGGAGAAATGAGAAAAAGGCTTTCTCTCATTTCCAAGTGCTGGAACAATACTGATGGCCAGTTACATGCAACAGTTCTTTAGCCAGTGCTGGCCTTTTGTCATATACTTGTGCTTGTCCTTGGTTTGTGATAAGCCAGAGTTCCCAAGATTGTAGCATCTGCACTGTGCAACTAGCTTCTATCTGTGATGCCAGTCACATGTGAGGAGGTGACTAGGACAGTGAAATGTCCCCAGCACTCTGCTCTCAGCCCATAGATGCTGCAGCCTGCAGGCCTCAAATCTGTGAAAGGAGCAGTGCCATTGGTGAGTTTACTTGTATTACGCTACAGTGCAGTATGGCAAAGCCAAATTTCTTGTTAAAGCTGTCATTTTTGTTGCACTTAGCAGGTTTTCAGATCTAATTAAATGCACTGTTTCCATGAGTTATTGATGGGAAAATGCCTTTGCTTTAGCACTTGAATGCATATGTATTACACTGTTGAAGATGGTAGGAGGTGATAGGGATTAGTTTGTTACACATTCTGCCTCTTAGGTTGGCACTCCTTAAACAGTTTGAGAGGCCACACAGTTACTGTGATTTCTGTGTGCTGTCTGGCTCTTAATTACCCTTAAAATTCTTGGCAGCTAAGACTAGGTTCAACAGCTCTGACAAAACCAGCCACTTCACAGTATCCCAGCATTGCTCAGGAGCATGTGTGGGAGCCTGGAATGTGACAGGAGCAGCTGGAGACTGTGCCTAGTGCTGATACAAAAGAAGTAATGGGTCACATTTTCATAGCAATTTGAGCTGATTTCATTACCCATCACTAGCAATAGCAATGAGACCCTCCAGACAAGCACCATGAAGTCACATTTAAAAAAACCCCAACAAACATTATCTACATAAGCATTTGTATTCCACCAGCACAAATTTCTGTGTATTGCTTTAAGTCTGAGCTGTGGAACATGAATATAAACACACTAAGGGAAAACAAAAAGTTAGGGTTTGGTATGGTAGTCTTACTTTTTAACTGTTGTTTATTCCTGAGCATCTTGAATTTAAAAGCAGACCAGCTTCCTAGGCTAATGTTTCTGTTTCTTCTTACAGTTGGATAGCGTCACTTCACTAATTCAGGCAGCCAAAAATTTAATGAATGCTGTGGTACAGACAGTGAAGATGTCCTATATTGCATCCACAAAGATTATAAAGATTCAGAGTCCTACTGGCCCACGACATCCTGTTGTTATGTGGAGAATGAAAGCTCCAGAGAAGAAGCCCCTAATTAAAAGAGAGAAGCCAGAAGAAATCTATGCAGCTGTCAGAAAAGGTTCTGCAAAGAAGAGAATCCATCCTGTTCAAGTCATGAGTGAATTTAGAGGCAGAGAGGTAGTCTGATATTCTGCCACTTCTTGGTTTCCATCCTGAATTTCTCATCTTGGAATTTTCATCTTTTCCCCCACTTATTTAATAATTGCACTATGTTAATGTTTTACTTTTCTCTAAATATGTAAGGTAACACTTAAATTATTTGCAAATGCTTCTGGATTAATTAGAAACACGTATTAAAAAAATACCCATTCTCTTGCAGTGACAAACTTATCATGGCTTTATACTGGCATGTTTTCAGAAGAGCACTTTGAGAGATACATTATGGGATGGTGCTGTCATTGGAAAGGAGGATGTGATCTGTCAACCTGGCTGAAGTTGTACTGCATTCACTAGGCTTCAGCGTTCCTTTACCAGGGATGAATGTGTTTTATGACATACAGCTTTTCATACATTGTGCTCTTGGGCCAGATCCTTTATCAGCATTATTACACCATGATCAAATTAGCTGGACTGCTTGATGCTAGCTGAGTCTAGGCCCTCAACTTGCATCTAGATTGAAAGATCTAAAGATCTCCCCTCATCCAAGGCCCAGTCTCGGAAATTTAAGTTTGAAGATGTTTTATGAAACAGAAAAAATGTTCTAACGACATGGATGTAACAATGTAATAATAAAAAAAAAAAACAAACCTGACTGCAACATAGCAGTAATAATAGCTGTTTAAAAGGCCTTTTGAAACATTAAAATTAATCTGCGTTCCGCTTCCTGCTCTATTCTGTGAGCACTAATAAATCTGCCAACTGTTACATTTGGAAGTTCAGATTAATCAGATGTTAACAATAAAAAACTTTCCTAATCACTGCACGAAACAAAAAATATGAAATAAATCATTATTCTGAGATAAGCATGTGAAATACGCATACACCTATCGTGAATCCTAGGAATTACGAGATTTTTGCAAGGTAGCTGTAGTGATTTAAAATATTTTTCTTATGAGAGTAGAGTCCTAAATGCACAACTGTGCCAGTAAGCAGTCTGCTAAATGGCTGTGCTGTATCTCAGCGTATATAATGAAGGTAAGTGCTGTTAGTCTGTGATCAACACCAGGCTTCTGTAAGATAATTAAAGAAAATTCTTCTGAAGCTGTTAGAATCAAATCCACTTTGACTGTTGTGGTTTTTTGGGTTTTTTTGAAGAATCTAACCTGTCTTCCCTGCCATGTCGCTAAGTTTTCCCAGATTACACTTCTTACTCAAGACGTCTTACTTGGCAGTTAAGTAGATCCTTTTTGTATTATTTGCTAAGGTGAAAGCGCTCAAATGCCAGAACTTCATGATGGTCATTGGCTATGAGGTGGCTCCAGACTATAGGCTGCTGCTCCATGTCATTTACTGCCTTGTTTGGCACAGCAGTGGACCTACCTAGCACAATGTGGGCAGCAAAAATAACCATAAACTCCATTTTCCCTCTTTTGGGTGCTTCTCTGTTTCTAAGCTCAGGACGGAACAGCAGTATCATTTCTAGGCTGTTGGTTAAGAAACCTCATGAAATGTATAGCAATCATGAATTAGAAATTTTGCAGATCACTACTTTACCTTCCCTAACTTTACTATCTGTTAAATAATACAAAAGTAGAAGTTTGGAACAAAAAGTATTTTTTCAAAGTAAGATTCCCTCAAGCTTGTTTGCATCAAGATCTTTGTAGCATGCATAGGCCTCTGCAGTCCTCTTGGGACTAAAGAGAGGGAGCCAGCTAACATTCAGGTGGAGCAGGCAGAGCTAATACAGAGCAGGCTGGATCACCTACTTTCAGTAGGTCTGTTGGCAGACTGACAGAGCCAAAATGAAGATTCTGTTTGGTATAGAGATCAAGAGAGCATACAGTGTTGTCACACTTCAAAGCCAAAACCTCCATGCCAGGTTCTGGCCCACTCCCTCAGACTACCTATCGTCCCCAGCAATGTTCAGGTCCAGAAGCCAGCAGAAGAGTTCCTTGTTTTGGAAGGGTGTTACTCTCTTAATAAATCCTTATGTCTCCAGGTTACACCTTTGAGATAGATCACCTTGACCTCAAATGTTTGTAACTTATAGCTTGTTTTCACATGATTAATAAAAAGCATTTACACCACTGAGAAGATGTCTTCTAGTGTTGTGAGATTTTTATTTTTTATTTTTCTTTGATGTGTCTCCTTATTGGTCTTTAAGACCAGCGAACACCCAGTTCAAAAGCCTCTCAGGTTTGCTCATAGGAGTGCCAGCCTTCCAGCTCAATAAGTGTACACTATTAGTCAGGTCTAATTGAGAGTTTTCCTAGCATTAGTATCATTAAAGCACAGTTTATTGCTTAATTTAATGCTCCTTCCTGCAGTGCTACTTACTGCTCTCTTATCATGGCCATACTCAATAGCCAGTCTGATATCAACTTTCAGTACTATTCCTATTACACTGAATTTACTGGGCAAAACACAACCTTCTAAATGAACAAGAAAATACACACTGCTGTTTTTTGAAAATAGCCAAAAGAATGATGAGTTAATTATATTTAGACTGCTTTTTCTTGGCTGAATTTCAAACACAAGTGAAAAAATTACAAGGTAAAGTGTGTTCCTGTCTCAAGAGGCAGAAGGATAAGAAACAAGTCCTGGAGATGTAAAAAGCCCACCGTAATAGCTCATTACCCCCTCCGTAGGCCTGAAAAGTAGGGAACTACCACTTCTATGCCACTATCAATAATGCTGAAGGAGGATGTGCTGCTCAGTAAGTTTTATTCAAAAGCAGCTACTTAATTCATCCTGCAGTCTACTCTCATTCCTTCCTAGCCCCAGTTTTCAGAGTATAATTTTTCACTCTGCTGTTGCTTGCCGCTGTGTTTGCATGATGTCCATAGCATATCAGCGTGTCCCTTGAAACTGTGCTGAGCTGCAGCTTTGCAAGACTTTCTCACCTCAGCAGCTCAGATTATTTCACTAGCTTGCTTTGTCCTCCCCATTACAGAGCAAAGGATGATGGACAACTGAAGGCAATTTTGTTAAAAAATTTAAAAAAAAAAAAAAAAAAATCTGTGAAACACTAAAAAATGCAGTAGATGGTATTTTTCAGTGTTAAAGCACAGCAGTACCAGAGGCCAGCCACATCCATGCCCTTTCCAGGAATCCTAAAGGTATTCAGTGTTTACCTTTTTAATAAGCAACTTGATTGTGTCACTCTGCTCTCACTGCTTTAGTACTTAGTGATTCTGAGCTGTAAACAGGTTGCCCAAGGAAGTTGTGAATGCTCCATCTCTGGCAGTGTTCAAGGCCAGGTTGGATAGTCTTGGGTGACATAGTTTAGCGTGTGGTGTCCCTGTCCATGGCAGAGGGGTTGGAACTACATGATCTTAAGGTCCTTTCCATCCCTAACTATTCTATGATTCTGTCACTGCAGACTGGGTTGAGCATAGTTTGCAGTTTGTCCCAGTTCCTTCCTTATTGCCCAGACTTAGCGAGCTGCTCCCAGTAAGTAATGAAAGTTCTCTCATCTCTTGGGCCCTCCAGAAAATGTAAACACACCTGTCCCTCTACCTCTGTCCACTCCTGAAGCCCTGCTCTTTTGCATGGTTCTGACATAACTGATTGGCCTTTTTTTCTGGAGGGAAAGGTGGGAAGAGGTGGTGCTAACCCTCTCTGCACTTACACCTTAAGCCCTGGTGTGAGGAGTAAATGAGGTTGGTAAGCAGGGGTGGTACTTCTGGTAGAGGACATGGAAGTTGTTGAAACTCCAGAGACAGAAGGGTTTGATAAAACAGTGCTGGGCATCTTGATTTTGTACTTGAGACCAGGAGCAACACTCAGGGTTCAGCACATTAATGGTGCCTGTTCTCTCTCTCTCACAGTCCTGCAACCCCCTGAACCCCAAGAGTCTTGAAAAACACTATTCACCTCCCTCATCCTCCTGGTCCTTGCCAGCAGATCTTGGTGGACACTTGTGGCACAAGTGACTCTTCCCCTACCCTCTCCTGGGCTCCCACCTCCCTTCTTTAAATGAAAGGAGACCATACAGGCTATCAGCACATCCACCCCCATTTCCCAAGATCTTGCTTCGTTTCATCATCTTCTCAAAACATTACAACAAAAGAGTAAGGAGATATGCTGTATGGCCAGCTCAGCAGCCAGGCTATATCAGCAAAGCTATTTTGAGGTCAGTGGTAAAATGTTCCTGTGACAGTAGTTACGGTAGTGCTTCCTCTGTAGCAGCTCCCTAAAAATGTTATCCCTCATTCAGGCAGGCTAAGACCGATCAGTCACCTTGAAGTTTGCTTTTGAACAGGTAGAAAGCACATCACCAGTGAAGAGATATGCTCCCCAAAAGAAAATACGTCTTCCTTGCCCTTTCCTCTTGCTGCATTTCAAACAACTTGTCTTTATTTAGGCATGCCGGGGCCAACTTTAAAATACCAAAATACAAAATATGAAGGTTATTAATACTTAATCCAAAGGGCAAAGAGTTTATTGGTAGAATGAGCTATTGAATCAGGTGGGTAGTGATGGCACATCCTCAAGCACTCTATTACCATAATGCCTGGGCTGAAGGCTCCATTAATTTTCTGCATCACCAACAGCAGAGGACCAAAGCTGACAGCCAGTGATACATGAGTCCAGTGTAAGCAAAATACATGCACAAACAAACCTTCCCATCACCTCCTAAAATATTAACAGTAGAATATAAGAGAATGCGGCAAAAGAAGGACTACAAAGGAAGTTGTTCCCAGGTATACGAGCCTATTGGTTTTCAAAACATAGTTTTCAGAAACATTATATTTCAGCTCCCAAGTAGCCATACTTTTTTGGACTTAAGTAGAGCATTCGATGCTACCTCCCCTAGCGTTCTCATGGAGAAACTGGCTGCTCATGGTCTGGATAGGTGTATTCTTCACAAGGTAGGAAACTGACTGGATGCCCAAGCTCAAAGAATGGTGGTAAATGGTATCGCATCTAGTTGGTAACTGGTCACTAGTGGCTCAGTGTTAGGGCCAGTGTTGTTTAGTATCTTCATTGATGATCTGGATGAGGGGATCAAGTGCACCCTCAGCAAATTTGTGGCCAAGTTGGCTGATAGTGTTGATCTGTGGAAGGATAGGAAGGCTCTGCAGAGGGATCTAGACAAGGTGGATTGGCCTGTGGCCACAAGCTGTGGCCAATGGTATGAGGTTCAACAAGGCAAAGTGCCAGGTTCTGCATTTGGGCCACAACAACCCCATGCAACACTACAGC